GACAATGAGCCACCCACACAGACATCCAGGGCATGAGGTCCCCAGAGATGCTTTTTCTGGAGTCACTCTTTTATGTGAAAATAGATGAGTTCCACCTCCCCCCCGCAAGAGGCAGCAGCTTGCTTTAACCCACAGGATAACTGGTATTTGCTGAAAAACAAGCAAATCTTATCCCAAGTACTGCCAGGCTTCTCAAGCCTGCTGGGAGCATGGGAATTAGTGTTCCACAGGGAACACACTGCCCATGATTGCTCTGTCCATCAGATGGCATCAGCCCCACACAGGTTATTGTATATATATACGTGTGTGTATTTATATATATATATGTATGTATGTATCTCCCTGGTGCTGCAGGAGGCAGCCCAGCTGATGGTATCCAGGCCAGCCTGCCACCATCCCACCCCAGGCTGTGGGTCCCAGCCCACCCATGGGTCTTTGCTTTCTTCCCTAGAGGAGCTTGGCAGCGACCAGAGAGGACCTTGCCTTCTGGAAAGAGCACGACACTGCCCTCAAAGCCGAACTGACCAAGATGACCACGGCCCACAGCGAGCTCAAAAACAGCTTCCACAGCTTACAGAGTGAGCTGCAGGTATGTTGATTGCCTGCAGGAACAGCCTCCACGTGAAAGCTCATGCTGGGTCACCCAGAGATGCTGTGGCTGTCCCATCCCTGAAGTGTTCAAGGCCAGGTTGTAGAGGGGTTGGAGCAACCTGGGCTGGTGGAAGGTGGCAGGGGGGTGGAGCAAGATGAGCTTTAAGGTCTTTCCATCCCAACCCACCCCACGATTCTCTCCTGGCCCCAGAGAGCAGAGGCCCAGAACGAGGAGCTGCAGCAGGCGCTGCAGAGCCTGCGGAGCGAACACGCCGCGCTCCACCTGAGAGCAACTGCCCTGAGCCAGGACAACGACCTCAAGGCCCAGCACATTACTGCCATTGAAGGTATTGTGTGCAGGGAAATAGTGCCAAATCTGTCCTCTAAAAAAAAGCAGAGCATATAAGGAATGTACTCTTGAAACTCTGGTCCTTAAAGCCACACACACACACAAGACTCGCTCGTTTTCAATGCGCTGTACACCTGAAAAGCTTCTGATTTCCAGAAGGCCCCTAAAGCCATTTCCTACTAGATTAAAGGACTTCAGAGAAGTCAAGCGACTTTCCTAGAAGAAAGGATGGCCTGGCAGACCTGAAAAAAGTAAAAAAATCAAAGCTGAGCTCTCAGCTTTGATGAGGACTTTGCATCCTTCCAGACCCATCAAACACAGCAATGCAGTGCCTGTTACTATCTGAGATGCTGCTTGTGGTGGATATTACCAGCCTAGAAATATGAGCTAACAGTGTCCTAGAGCACTGATTTGGATAGAGACAAGCAAACTTCATCTGGCTATTTTAAAATAGAATTAAGGAAGAGCAAATGGGTGGCAGCTCTAATTTCATAGTAAGTCCTGGACAAACAGCTTTAAAATAAACCATAAATTAGTAGAATGCAAGGCACACTGGAAAAAGCTGCCAAAACCAAAAGGGCAATTAACAGCTAAAAATCACATCCCTTCAGAGAAGAAAGTTCAGTGCAGCCAATAATTATCTGCTCCACTTTACACACATGGAGAATGGGAAAGTCACCATCCTTGCACAGAGACACAGAGATTTATTTATTTCCCTCTGTCATTATTTCAGACAAACTACAAAAAGAGCAAAAGCAGAAGGTGATGCTGGAGGCAACAGTCAGCCACTTGCACAGTGAGTAACACAGAGAGGCACAAGGTAAGAGGCCTTTGTAGGTGCTGAGGACAATAATGTGGCTTTCTGGGTTCACAGACTTGATCCAGAACAACCAAGAGAAGAGCCAGGAGGTGGCGGTGCAGAGGACAGGTCAGCAAACTTTGTAAGCCCGAGCTAGCACTCACTTGGACACAAGGATGTTAGTCCTGACTCTAGGAGAAGTCTACACTGGTTTAGAAGAAAGGATTATTTTAGAGCTGCACAAAACGAGTTATTATATTTTGCTAGTTAACATTAAAACAGAAATGTATTTATGATGACAAACACTTTAAAAATAAACGGATTTCATTGCAAATTCTACTTCAGTGGCTATGCCATTTTTTTTCCCAAACAAAACACATTCCAGTTTATAATTGCAGTTACAGCTGTACTTGAAAAAAAAAAAAAGTAATAAAATGCATTTTAAATCTTTCTCCCCTCCATTTCTGGCAACTACTTAGAAAGATAGCTCTAAATATTATTAACATGTAGCTACAGCAGAGACAGGCCTGTGATAATGATAATGAACTGAGCTTCTGCTGTGTGTGTAACACATAAATATTATCCTTAAACTGCTGAGTAACCAAGATGTAAAGCAAACCCAGAGCCTGGACCTGTTTCTCATCAGCAGCCTGACTGTTTTCTAGACCAGGTTTTCACCACCCAGACCCCACCTCTCACTCCTGCCAAGGAAAACCAAAACACTCTGTTAGAGCACCCCAAGGAGGAGGAGGGAGAAGAAAGTCTGAAGGATGAGATGCAGAAAAGGACATCCCAGCTCACAGCAAAGGAGAATGAGGTGAGGAAGTCACTGAGTTGTTGCTGGTTTAAGAGCTCCAGCAGCAACACAACACACCAAAGGTCCTGGAGGTAACCTGAACTTGGTGTCCCCTGTAAGGATTCTCCCTGCTGAACTTTTATCCTGATACCAGCCTTGCCTAAATCTCCACAGGCGAGAGTCTCGAGAGCCTCACAGGAAAAAGCCACTTTAAGAATTAAAACCTTAAACACAAATGAAGGAGAGGAGGAAAAGAAAAGGCTTGCAATAATAATAACAACAATAATAAAAATAACAGGCAGGGTCTGCCAACAAAAGCACTGCCCTTGCCACTAGGCTGCAAAAAAAAAAATCCAAGCCTTTCCAGCCTTTTACACATCCCTTTCCATCAAACCATCCTTCTGCCAACAGCCCCACAATTCTTAGAGCAGTGTTCAGACAGCAAGGATTCATCAAAAAGGGACTTGTAAAAAAAATTATTTATAACTTACTGTAGCAGAGCTCAGAGCCACAGAGGAGAAGAGCTTGTCATGCCAGACCATAATGGGGAGAAAAGCAGCACCCCCAGGTATCACCCAGCATGCCCTGGGGAAGGGTTTATAAAGCACAATCACAGCAAGTGGGAACTGCTGGGGAGGGGGTCCAGCTGCCCCCTCTTTGGCTCCTGAAGCCTCTGGGCAGCTCCTTGTACAGCTGCTGCCAATGACCTGCTCATCAGAATGGCAACAGGGTCTTGTGCCATGGAACCTTCAGGAAAGGGCCCTCCCCGGGTTTTGGGGTTGTGCAGCACAACCAAGCTGCCCAACCCACGTGTCCCACATCCCAGAGGGTTTAAAGGACTCTGGGATTGCTGTTGGGGTGGGTGGAGTGCAGAATGAATTTCAGAATGAGAGGCAAACCCTGACAGGAGTTTGCACTCCCTGTCTTCTTCCCGGTCATAAAAATCGTTATCCCTACGTTCTCCTGTGGGATGTGAAGGTTGGCAGCAAAGCCAAGCAGGTCACGGGGTGGTGACAGACTGGGCACTGCCTCCACCACCACATTCCCACTAACCCCGAGCTCTGCTCTGTTCCCTGCAGGTACACACGGACGCGCAGGCAGCAGGAGCCAGACCCCCCAGTCCGGGCGGTGCCGGCGCGCGGGTGAAGCGCTGCAGCCTCTGCGGGGGCCCTGCCAGGCTGCCTGGGTACAAAAAAGAGGGGACCCCCCCCGGTAACACCCCCTTGCTGTGCTTGCAGTGCTGGGAGCTGCGCTCGGAGCTGGAGGCCCTGAGCGAGGAGTACCACTCGTGCCTGACCAGGCTGCGCCAGTGCCGGGACGAGCTCAACCGCTCCCACGGCCAGCAGGCCAAGGTGGGAGCCCCCGACCCCAAATCCCAGGGCTGCACATCAGCCTGGGAAACCCCCCCCCAGTGTGGAAAGATCAATGAGGTGTTTGCTGAGGGATGAGATGAGAAGTTTCTTCTCTGGCAATGGGACTGAGGGAATGGCCTGGAGTTGTGGCAGGGCAGGGTTAGGTTGGGTGTCGGGAAAAGGTTCTTCCCCCAGAGGGTGGTTGGGCACTGAACAGGCTCCCCAGGGCAGTGGGCACAGCTCCAAGCCTGACAGAGCTCAGGAAGCATTTAGATGATACCCTCAGACACGTTGGGAATGGTTCTGTGCAAGGCCAGGAGTTGGACTTGATGATCCCTGCGGTCGCTTCCAACTCAGCACATTCTGCGAAATCCCTACTAACCCTTGCTTCTCCCCGCAGAGGCAGCGTTGTCACTGGATCCCCCTCCTGGTGGCACTCACAGCAGTGGCCATTGCCACCTTCCTGGCAAGTTACAGGCCATGAAGAGCCTCCTTGATGACTGACTTTACTGCAAGAACTGACTGTGCTTCCCCAAAAGTCACGACCTCGCCACAGTGCACCTTCTGCTGTTTAGTACCTGTGTGTTTGGTTCATATCCTGAGCTGGTCTCACTCCAGACAAACTCCCAATAAATGCTGGAATATCACCCCTTCCCTCAGCTGCTTTGGTTATTCTGTTCCAGCTGAAGGTTGCACCATCCTGTCCCCCATGGCACTGAAGGACAAAGCCACTCTGGTCATCACACAGGTCTCACACAGGGAGAGAGGGACAGGGCATCCCACACCCTCGGGATTTTTGCCCCCAGAATTCTCTTCCTTTATTTACTGCCCCTCTCTGCTTGTACCTGACAATGAAACCTGGCCCAGGGAGGCTGTTTAGCACAATCCCCTTGTTTTCCCCCCCATTCCTGTTTTGAGCAATTTTTCCACCTCCCATCCACCAGGCCCTGGCAGGTTTTACAGAACTTGACCCTCACTCATGCAGAGGCTCAGCTATGACCCAGTGCATGGCACCACCTCATATGAGCAGTAAATACAACATGGAACCTCCAATAAACTTCACAAATTCAAAGCACTGTGGTGTTCAAAGTTTTTATTCACCCTCACGCAGTGGACCACGTACAGGGGAACTGGATCTTTTGTCTCGGTCCCCAATGTAGGGAGCGCCAAAAAGTCCGAGTTTGCTCATGTTTTACAAGGCAACTGCTGGAAGAGTCACGACCTCGCTGGAAATGCAGAGATCCACAAAGTCACTCTGTGCACTGAATGCCTCCTTCAGCTCATCACACCAGGCATCCAGCACCTCCCCCAGCTTCGTGCAGAGGCTCTCCGGGATGCTGAAGGAGTAAATCTGGACCCTCAGACCGTCCTTTATCCTGGGGCAGGAGGCCTGGACCGTGAACACCCTCAGCGGTGTCAGCGCCAGGCAGTTCTTGGTGCCCTCCTCCCTGGAGAAGGTGTACACCGCGGGGTACCCCAGCAGCACCCCGACCACGGTGCACAGGTTCCAGTCCTGGGGCACAACCTCGCTGCAGGACACCGGCCCGGCGCTGGCGGCCTCAGCATCCCGCAGGTGGCTCAGGAGGGAGGCGAGGTGTCCCCTGATGGCCTCAGCCTCCTCCTCCGCGCAGAGCGCCGGGCATCTCCTCCCGGCCGAGACATCCACGAAGGGCGCGGGGCGGGCGCGGAGCATCCCCTCCAGCCTCCCGCGGGCCAGCGGCGGGTGCAGCAGCAGCAGCGCCGAGCCTTCCACGCCCAGCACGTGGATGCGGTGCGGGGCCAGCCCCGCATCCCGCAGCCCGCCCAGGTACCGCCGCAGCTCGGAGGGCCCCGCGGGCCCGCACTCCCAGAGCAGCGCCGGCTTCAGCCCCGCCGCCACCGCCAGCACCTCCCCGGCCGCATGCAGGGCACGGGCCGCCGGCAGCCTCCGCCGCCGAGCCGCCCTCGGCCCGCTCCGTGTCCCCAGAGCATCCCGGGCCGCCGCCACCAGCAGCGCGGGGGACAGCGCGGTGGCCCCCGGTGCCATGGGGACACGGGGGGAACCGGCGGTTCCGGGGCGGGTCTGACCGAGCACGGCCCCTCCTTCCCCGGGGCGGATCTAACTAAGAACGGCCCCTCCTTCCCCGGGGCGGATCTAACCCAGCACAGCCCTCCTTCCCCGGGGCGGATCTAACTAAGAACGGCCCCTCCTTCCCCGGGGCGGGTCTGACCAAGCACGGCCCCGGTCCCGCCCGGCCCCGGGCGGAGCGACCTTGCCAGGGCGGAGCCGTGGATAAGGAAAAGGCTGTTTTTGGGGAGCAGAAAGCTCAGAGCTCGGGGAGGGAAAGGAAGGAGGCGAGGACAAAGGGGCAGCGCAGAGGGGTGATGTGATATTATAGCTTCACAGAATCACAGGATGGTTTGGGGTGGAAGGGACTTTAAAAATCATCCCCTCCTCACGTCTCCCACTAGCCCAGGTTGCTCACAGCCCCGTCCACGGTGGCCTTGAACACTTCCAGCGATGCGGCAGCCACAGCTTCTCTGGGCAACCCGTCCTCAGAAAGAAGAATTTCTTCCCAATATCCAACCTCAATTTCCCCTCTTCTAGTTTAAAACCACTCCCCCTATCGCTCCATACTCCTGTAAAAAAAAAAAAAAATCTCTGCAGTTCTATTGTAGCCCCTTTACATACTGAAAGGTGCACTAAGGTCTTCCCAGAGCATTCTCTTCTCCAGGTGGCTTCTCTGAGTTTGCAGAGCTGTTTTTTTTTAAAAAAAAAAAAAAAAAAAAAAAAAACCAACAAATTCCTGCGTCATGTGCTTCAGGTGACCCTGCCTTGGCAGGGGCGTTGGACTGGAGGAGCTCCAGAGGTCCCTTCCAACCCTAACAACTCTGTGATATATGCATTTACAGTGCCTGTATATACACCCCTACATCCACCCCTATAAAAAAAGCACAGTAGAGGAAGCATCAGCATCCCAGCTTGCTGCTACAGCCCAGTTAAAGAGAAAAAACTAGACAAGGTGATATTCTCCAGGCAGTTTTAATAGAGCAGATTATTTTATCTTCCCCCCTCTAATGATCAAGTGCTTATATACAACGTATCAATAGCAGATTAAAAAAAATATTACAGAATTGAAAATCTGATTTATACACCGGGGTTGCTTAAGCAAAACAGCTGAAAAGGGTGAAGGAGTCAGAAGCATTCCTGCAAACCCCTCAGTTTAAAGGCTTCCAGAACAAAAAGCACCTATGAAATTATGGAATCAGGTGGCCAGATTTACAGATTTTATTTATTCAGGTCTAGGCAAGGCACTGGTTAAGAAACACTTCTCTATATGTACAACAGAAATAAACCCCCAGGGGGTGGGGACAAAGCCAGGGCAGGGTCTGTCACTGCGCCGGGAGCGGCTGTGCCATGTGCAAGGGGGGGGCCTGCATGGGCCACCCCTCCTGGTGGTTCTGCAGCAGCCTGTAGAGCTGCTTCAGGTGGGCCACGATGTTGTCCTTGATGTCAGGGGTGGAGATCTGCAGCCTCACGCTGCCGCTGTCGAAGGAGCGCGTGAAGTCCCCCGAGAACATCTCGTAGATCATCCGGGCCACAACGGGGATGACCTGTTTGAGAAGAAGTCATTTGTTTCAAGCTGGTGGAACACAGAATAACCCCGTTATTTTGCAGGAAGACCCCTGTTCTGGATGCAGGGGACTGTTTCCACAATAATCTAAAGAGCACTCACAGACTGATTCTATCCAACACATGTAATGGTGGTATTTGCTCTCCCCAAAACCACCAGCCCTTACTGGGGTTTTCCAGTGTCAGAAGCCACAGGTCTCACTGATCCAGAGCCAACACACCAAACCCAACAAGGCTGGCACAGAATCCAGTAGGTTGGAAAAGATCCTCTGAGATCCTCCAGTCCAACCTGTGACCAAACACCATGCTCTATGTGCCACCTCAGAGCCTCAGCTCCTACCTGCACCACAATCAGCTTCCTCTCCCTGGGCTTGCCATCGGGCCACTCTTCTCCAAAACAGAAGTAGATCTCATAGGGTGGTTGTTTCTCAATTTGTCCTTTCTGATGGGCAATCAGCTCTGGGAAGAAAAGCAGAATGCTGCAGGGTTGTCCTCTGCCAGTCAGAAACACCACATCCCACCTCACTGTATCATCCCGGGTCTTGCCTACACACTGTCCTTTGCCACCTCTTATATACACACAATTACATATTATTTCTTGCACCCACAGAGCTTTCTTTAAAAGCAAGGTCCTTCAGAGTCTTTCAGAGCATTAAATGAGTTTACATTCCCTTTCTTCTGCCACACATCTGTTCCATAGTCCTCTGGAGTCAGGGAAACGGTGGCCCCAACCCACACTCCACACACAAACAAAATAAACAGTGCACCCAGACCAACCCTTTCCAACAGTGCCACCGAGTGCCCAGACCAGCACCCGAAGCCATTTCCCAAAAGCAGAAGTTACCTACCGCTTAGGAACGTTTCCAGGCAGAAGAGTTTGACTTTCTTCTGCCTCTCAATCAGGTTTGGTGTGGTGGAGGAAGGCGCACAGGGCCCCGACCAGTACACCTTGCACTGGCAGAGCCGCACGGCGTAGATGGCGTGGCCGCTGACCTCCAGGATCAGTCCCCTGTCCATAACATCCAGCAGCCGACTCGTGAAGATCTTCTGCTTCTCGTTGGTGATTTGCTCTGTTCCTGGGAACTTCACTTGCTCCAAACTGATGGGCCCAAAGAGCTCCTCCTGGTCTGGCATAGGGCCCAGCTCTCCGTAGAACAGTCTGCACCCCTGCGGGTTGCTCACGGTCGTCGTGGGTCCAGTCTCCTTCCCTCGATACTCAAACTTGATTTCTAGGTCTGTCACTGAGAGAGAAACTGTCACTGTGGCTTTTTCTCAGCATCAGCAGCAGAGACACACCATGGAACCACAGAAGCCCCGTCCAACCTGGCCTTGGACACTTCCAGGGATCCAGGGGCAGCCACAGCTTCTCTGGGCAACCTGTGCCAGGGTCTTCCCACCCTCACAGGGAGGAATTTATTCCCAATATCCAATCTAAACCTGCTCTTTTTCAGTTTGAAGCCATTCCCCCTTGTCCTGCCACTACATGTCCTTATGAAAAGTCCCTCTCTTTCTTGCAGGCTTCCTTCAGGTACTGGAAGGCCACCGTGAGGTCACTCCAAAGCCTTCTCTTCTCCAGGCTGAACAACCCCAATACCCTCAGCCTTTCCCCACAGCAGAGCTGCTCCATCCCTCTCATCAACTTGGTGTCTCCTCTGGACCTGCTCCAACAGCTCCATGTCCTTGCTGTGCTGTTGTTCCCCAAGAGCTGGAGGCAGCTCTGCAGGTGAGGTCTCACCTGAGAGGGGCAGAATCCCCCCCCTCCCCTCCTGCCCAGGACAGGGTTGGCTTTCTGGACTGTAACAATCCACACTACAGTCACAGGAACGTTCAAACTCTACACAGTTGTTGCAAACAAACAAACAGCCACAGGGAAAAAATGTCAAACACTGGTTTTTTTTTAAAGTACAGTGGCAGAAGCACTATTACAAACCCACACACATACTTGGCAGAGAGCTGATCCAGAGCTCAGGGCTGCTGAAGAAGTCGTGCTGCAGCGCAGTTGGGGGCATTTCCATATCCAGAGGTTCATTCTTTGGCCACACAGCTTCAGGGCTGCAGTTTTCTGCAGTGCCTGGAGCCATTGGAGATTCTAAAAAAAGGCAGCAGTTCTTCAATAAACCAAGATCTTACTTCAAGCATGCATCAATTTGCAAATAAACAGCTTCAACAGTACATTAGTCTGTGCCACCAACCATTGATATTAAGAAATGGAAATGTCTCTTGAATAGGGACATGCTGAGATTGATTCAATTCTTCCTCCTCTTCATCATCAAGATCATTATCCTTTTCATCCCACGGAGCTGAGCCAGTGGAACCTGAAAGCAAGCACATTCTTGTGGGTGGATGCGAAACACTGTGATGCACTTCTTGAAAAAAACAATAAAATCTTCATATTGGTTGTGCCCAACATTGCATAATTATTTGTGTCTTTTTCAAATGTGAGTAAAAGCACAAATGTGATCTGTACAACACGATATTTTCAGTTTAATAAATAAACATTAACATGGCAGCTGCTCTCTGCTGCACACCAAGGCAGCTGGAGAGTTAAATGCACAGAGGGAAAGGAATTGTTGGACAAATGCCTGCTCAGGAACCAGCAGGGCCCTCACCTGGATTAATGATTGATCCCTGGGACTGCGGGATGTCGCACACCTCATAAATTTTAATGGGGTTCATGGGCACCTCCTTGGTGCCATCGTACATCAAATTGAATTCCCGGCTTTTGTTAAGTGCACATCGGAGCTGGGCTTTCCACTTTGCAGGGTCTGGCTCATCCACTCCTTCCTGGTACTTCCCTGTTTCCACGGCCCATGCCTGGGGACAAAGTACACGGAGCTCAGTCCGGCCCTCTGCACAGAGCAGGTTTTATCAGGAATCAAGCTTCCACACAAATTCACTGCAAAAACCCTTCTCCTGCACAAGTCTCAACCAGAGCTCTTCTGATAACAACAAAACAGAAATTCCCTCTTTAATAGCTTTTGCCATTAAAAGAAAGGGGAAGAAAAAAAAAAACACACACAAAAAAAAGTTGGAAATCCAAATTTCAAAAAATCATTAGTAATTCTGAACATGCAAAGTACAAGTTGCAGAGGATCATGCCCAGAATTTTTCTAGGTCTCTCAGGTTCAGTAGCAGAAGGCATTTGGAGCCATACCCTGTGCAGGAGGAATGGACTTGTTAAAATGGAGTGAAAGGGAAGCCACAGACATCCAGTGGCTCCCTCACCTCAAAAATCAGACTATCAGCCCAAGATCCCTCTGAGATAGAAGCCAGAAATTCCTCAAAGGAGTGCAGGGAGTTATAATGAATCCCATGGGATAAGAATATTACGGGCAGCAGCGATGGGTGCTTGTGATGAGCTTGTGGTGGGACCTCTTCAGATTCACTTAACAGCATTTCATGGTTTGGTGCCA